GGGTGATAGCTAGTTTGGATAATCATCTAGAGGGCTGAAGAAAGAAACTGTAGACTGAGTTTCTGAGTCTTGTCAGTAGCACACAGTAGACCTGGCAAGGAGTTGCCAGGGTCAGAATTCCCAAATCAGGAAACCAGCAGTAGAATCTCCCCAACTCTTTGTTTTAGCACAGTGGGCGCTGCACACCTTGCCACCCTGCTGCTTCCATATGACTCTGTTCTGAAGGAGTTCCACATGTTGTGTCTGGGTAAAGGCACCTGATTTATACATCTGCCTGTACTGCAGGGCGAGGAAGGCAGGAAACATAAGCCTCCTGCTCCCAACTTGTTTATTTGCTTCCATTTTAAAATTCTGTATTGGGAAGGTGAACTTCACATAGTAGGAAACTGAAGTGAAAATGGAATGAAGATAATGCTGAACTCCATGAATATAACAATGCTCATTATAGTACTTATTTAAAATAATATAGTAATTTTAGTAATGGAATTGTAAGTAATCTAGGAATCAGTAATATAAAATTATATATTACTTTTTTTTTTGTAGTACCAAGTATTGAACCCTTATACTTGTTATGTAGAATGATCTTTAACAAAGTTTTATACTGGGGAATAGTGTATAAAGTGCTGAAAACCCCAGTGGTTTCATGCTTGTATAACTTTAGAATTCTGTTAATCTAGTAAGATTGTATTGATAAAGAGACAAAGACAAGAACAGTTTTAGATTCTTTTGTAATTAGTAGATAACACTGCAAATCAAGACCCATTCTTGTGAATTTATTCCTTTGATCAGAGATCAGAAATTTTATCAGTGGGTCAGCATAAACTCATTACTGTTGTTAGAAGAATAAGTTAGTATGAATGTGTGATGGTGGGAGATAGCAGAGTTACAAAGCAAACTTAATATGTGGCTGATTGGCTAGCTGGCTTTCTTTCTTTCTGTACTGGAAATTAAGCCTCTGAATCACATCCCCAACCCTTTTTATTTTTGTTATTTTGAGACATGATATCCCTGAATTGCTTAGGGCCTGGCTTTGAACTCATGATCCTCCTCCCAAGTTGCTGGGATTACAGGTATATGCTACTGTGCCTGGGAAAATATGGTTGTTTTTCTAGAGTAAAAAAAATTAAATAATTAAAAAGATTTTTTTTTTTTTTGTGGTGCTGGAGATGGAACTCAGAACTTTGTGCATGCTGGCACTTTACCTGTGAGCCACATCATCAGCCCCTATAGGTTTTATTTATTTAATATAAACTTAGCTCTACAGGGGCCTTAGAAATCATGTAGTTAGTACCCTGATTTTATAGTTCAGGAAGCCAAAGCCCAGGAGGTGTAGTGATTTGCTCAAGACTGTTGTTGGTAGGTGGTAAGGCCTCCTGGTTTCCTGGTTGCACAGCCTGTTCTCCCTGCCCCCAGGGGAGTAGAACTTCTCCACACTGGGAGGAAGCCTCAATGCCTGCTGGAGCCCCACACTGAGAATTGAATCTGGATGTAACAGTCAGGATGTCTTAGTGGAGATGTTGGTTGGATAACACTGGTGGTCTTTTATGTAACAGATGAACACTTAGACATTTGTTCTTGAGTTTTGAGGAAAATGAATTGCAGAAGTAAGAGCTGTTCAAAACAACACTTGGGGGAAGCACACCGCACATGCCTAATTGAAGATGTAAGTTTTCCTTGGTAAAATGAGCTGCGTAGTACTTTTCTGTTTACTCTTCTGGGCGATTCATGAATTTGTTCAGACACAACTCTTTTGCTGAGGCTTTTGCCATTACATGCATAGTCAATAGTAGTTAAGAATTACTGGGGAATTTCAGCCCAGCTAACTTGGCATGTGCTTCACATCTTTGCTCCATGCTGCCTTTGCAGTGAGTCTTACTCTAGCCCTACCCTGCTTAATGTTGTAGCCCCCCTGCTCCTCATGCACTGCTGTCCTGCACTTTTTCTTTCTAATAGCAGTGTCTCTTATAAACATTGTGTATATATTCCCCAAATAATTTGTCTATTAACTTTACTGCTTACTGTGTATCTCCTCCATTAAAATAGGAGCTTTTTGAAGGCAGAGACTGGTCAGTTTGTGCATTCCCAGCCTCAGGAATAAATAGTAGAGAATAAATATGTGTTAAATAAATGACTTGATAAAAGCAGCTCTTTTTTAGGATTTCTATAGTAAATTGACAGATTCTCATTTCCAGTGATTGTTTTATTCATTAATTTATTATGAATTGCAAACTCATCAGTTGGTGTGAACAGCATATAAATTGTGTGTGACTTGTGATGTCTAGTTTTCTGGGATCACTGTATTTGGCAATAAATAAAGAACTCAGATGTAAAACTCATTAACATGTGGAGTACTAAGTGATAAAAACACAAAGATTCTCAGATATAGATTTGAACACTTAGCTGCCTTTAAATATAATTGGTGTAAAAGACTTTCACTGTTAATATTGTGGCCACAAAAGTTGAATTTCAGAGTATGGGGTGATGGAGGAGCGAGGAGGGATGAGGAAGGAAGAGAGAGGGAAGCAGGAGGAATCTCTTGGTGAAATTGGAAGATACTTCAGCAGAGTCATCCCAATGTGCCAGTACACTTCTTTTTGTTAATTTAACCCTTTACAGATGAGCTAAAACATGAAAACACTTAAATGAAGATTAAGTCTATAATGTTTCAAAATTTTCATTTAGCTTAATTCAGTTCTGAGGCATTAAGATAGTTTACAAATGCTCATTTTTATAATTTAAAGATATATTTGACATTTAGTATTCAAGGGGGATAAAGGTGGTAAATGATATCTTAGAACGATGTTAAGAAACCTGGAAATTGCTGGTACAGTGGTGCATGCCTGTAATTCCAGTGGCTCCGGAGGCAGAGGCAGAGGCAGGAGGCAGGAGGATCATGAGTATCATGAGTTCAAAGCCAGCCTTAACAAAAGTGAGGTGCTAAACAACTCAGTGAGACCCTATGTCTAAATAAAATACAAAATAGGCCTGGGGATGTGGCTCAGTGCCCCTGCATTGAGTTCCCAGTACCAAAGGGAGGGGAAGAAACTTGAAAATCAAATACATTTTTTATATGAACTTAAGTTCAAAGCCTAAATGACTTGCCTTTTCTCATGCAGCCAGTTAAAGGCAGAATTGATACTAATTCTATCACATATTTTCACTAAAGGATTCTTAATAGGAAAGGAGCATATAAGCCAGGAGATGACCTAGGGAACGATTATGAGTTTGTTTGGAGATCTGTGTTTTATCTGAAAATTTTCATTTAGTTAAGCTGAGTTTTAGGGCATTATGGTAAATACACAACTAGGCATAGAATGAGCAAATATAGATCATGTGCTTTTAGAACTGGAAGAGTGATTGCAACATCCCATTACCACTGCAGTACCCTCAGCTTTACAGATAAAATTAAACCAAAACCTCCTGACTGCCAACCTAGAGCACCTACTGTTAGATCTGCTATTGCAAAAGTTGTATTTTTCAGCATATTAAAATAGAGGTACACCTCAGGTGCATGACAAGCATCTCATTTAACAATATATTGCAAAAGAAACAATTTATAGAAAAGATTAAGAAGTGAAAACTTTTCAGGTGTCCCCAGCTGGAGGAGGAGGAGTACAGTGGGACTGTCTTTTGATCTGAATTTGCTTATGATAGACTTAGTTGCACCATATAGATATTTAATAAAATTCAAATGTACAAATGGTGTGCATTGTTCATATTTTAGTATCTGTATATGAAAGTTCCCTTGAAATGATCTCTTGGAAGTGGGTGGCGGTCACTGTGGCATAGGCAGTGGGTTTCCCTGTGTGACTAGCAGAGGAATCTCATGCAAAGCCATTACCAGGGGCCCATGGAGGTCCTTTTTCTGCTAAGCAGGTGAATGGTATGAAGCCTCTTAGAATTTTGAGAAAGAGCCTGCTGAGACATGAGCAGTTTTCAGATTGGGTCTGGAATCTTTGGGAACAGAGAGTAGCTACCCTTGAGCAGTTGGTTACTTGGAATCCTTATATTAATGTTAAAAGTCCTTGTCAGAATTTTTATTGTCTTGTGTTTTCAGCTTTTCCACTGATGTAAGGTTTTCAGTTTTAGCGGGCAGTAGTCTGGGTACTATTGCTTTACTGTCCTGATGTCATGCACCTGTGACCTTTATGAAGGCATGCTGTGGTGTGTTGTTTTCAGTTAAAGTCTGTGTCACACACTAGCTAGCTTACCAACTCTACGTGCATTTGTGGAAATATCCTGCAGATTGTAGTTACATCCTATCCTGGTAGAGCCATGTGTTTAGAAGTTCAGAGATACTATCTGTTGGCAGGTATGTCTTGTCAAATGGTGAGTGCCCAGTAGGTGGGAAGAGGTGCAGTTGTGTTAAGGTAACTTGTCTGGAAGCCCCTGTTTCTCATTTAAGTTGTTATTGTAGCTTAGTATCCAAGAAAGCTGTTTGTCATTGTTTAGAAATCACAGCTCTGTGCTTGTCTGTCATGCCCAAGGCCCTGGGTTTGTTCTCCAGCATTGCACAGCACCACCACCAACCACCACCAGGAACCATAGCTCCAGAATTAGAGACAGCTTTAAAGTCCTTGAATTATTCTGAGAGTTTAGCTCTCATTATTTTTTATATCTTCTGGATTTGAAGTTTTGAAAAACTTGATGTAGTTTATTCAAATGATTGAAAGTTTTCCTGGTGAAGACTGACTTTGAGGCTGAAGAGAGCCCATATTCCTCTTTCATTTCTTTTAAGGTGTGGCAGTATGAGGGCAGAAGTCGGGCTAGAGTTTGAGCTAAAGCTGTGTGGAAACTTTGCCAGCCAGTTGGCTGACTCTGAATGGTAAGCCAGGAAGAACCACCCACGTTTTCCATTTTGGATTTGAATCACAGAAAACAGGTTTCTTGTAGAAACCATTTGGCATTAAAAAGTGTCTGGAAATTTTGTCTTTGATTAAATGAAATTTTATCTTGTGCATGTGTTTTAAATTAATTATTTTCTCCCTTTTAATCCATAGGTGAAATTTCATATTTGGCTTTCCTACAGTACTGACCGTAACCTAATTTCCAAGATTTTTATAAAGGTAGACTCAAAAGGACTATACTTTCAGGTAAGGATCTGATTTTACTTTATCTTGATAATAATAGCCAGTTTGGCAGAACTCTTAAGTTCTCAGATTTCTGGAATAGAAGTATAGGTGAATTTTTAAAAATGGTAGTAACTTGAATTCTCCAGACAGATTCTCATCTGTTTGATATTAGCTAAGAGGTATCAATGTGATTGACTACTTGAAACAATTAGAGAAACAGTATACAATGGCAATTAAAAAACACACACAGGCCTGGTGTGGTGGCATATGCCTGTAATTCCAGCGGCTCAGGAAGCTGAGGTAGGAGGAGTGCAAGTTCAAAAGCAGCCTTAGTAATGGAGAGGCACTAAGCAACTCAGTGAAACCCTACCTCTAAATAAAATACAAAATAGGGCTAGGTGTGTGGCTCAGTGGTTGCGAGCCCCTGAGTTCAATCCCTGGTACAAAAACAAACAAAAAACACCAAACACAAACACATATATTCATACTCATTTAAAATTGCTTTAAAACTGTTTTAAATTTTTTTTTTTTTAGTGTGAGAATCATCCTTTATTCTAATACCTGTCATCTATTGTCGCCTGATTGATTGACCAATCTATCATCCATTCATCCTTTCATCTATCTATCTCCTATTTATTTAAAGCTTAACAAATGGATGGTTTAAAAATAATTTCTCTACCTCTTTGGCATACCAAAGTACTGTAAACAGTTCTGGACACAAGGGGATTACAGAGAAAGATCTATGCTCAAATATTTTGGAATTAATAAGACTAGTATTTAGAAATGAATTTTCCCCACGTAGAAAGGTAATTTTGTACCAGAAACAATCAAACATCTCCCTCCCCATTAGTCCAGAAAACCACATTTTATAGAAAAAATTGTGCTGAGTTGGGATTGTTATCATGTTCCTGGATACAAGTGAAAACCTGTATCCAGTTTTTTAAATAATTGCTGAATTTATCTAAGTGATCATGAGATATTGATTCACTCACCAGTGTTTGTACTTCTATAGGAGAGCTACTTTTCAATTTTAGAGTATGTAAAGTTTAAAATTGTTGGGATCATTTGAAGGACAGTGGCAAATGAATGAAGTAGTCTAAAAGTTACTTTTCAATAATGCATTGTAGGATGACTCTTGTAGATACTGACTCTTGTAGACACTTCCTAATTATACACCAGTGAACAGAAATTAGTTTGCATAACTATAATATACCAACAAGGAGAGAGCCCAGTAGAGAGAAACTGGTTTGGAATTTAAAGCAAGATCCAGGTGACATGTGGATCTAATTTCTTTTCTATCCATCCCAAGATTGCCCTTACTCAGATCCTATAGTAACTTCTTACACTCTTCTTCTTGCTTCTTCACACTCCAGGGCCTCCCTGTCACCATAGCAGTAGTTCTCAAACTTTTTGGTCTTAGAAACTCTTTATATTGTTAAGTGATTGAGGACTTACGAGACCTTTTGTCTATGTCTGTTATATGTCCATCACAATTTACTTGTATTAGAAATTAAAATGGAGAATAATATCAGAATATATAAGTACATATGTGTTTGCTGCAGGGTGATGACACTGGCACAATCTTGGGGCTTCTGGAAAACATTGTACACTCATGAGAGAATGAGAGTGAAATAGCAAGTAACATTATTTTTGAATGTAAGATTTATCAAGGTCTTGTATACAGCAAGATCCACCTTTTATAGTGTATAGTTCTGTGTGGATTTCAGTAAATGCACATGGTTGTATGACCACAATGAAAATATAGAACATTTCCATCTCCTCAGAATGTTCCCCTACCACAGAGCCAGTCCCCTCTAACTTATTTCTTGTCCCCATAGTTTTCCCTGTTCTGAATATCATATAGATGGAGTTATAATAGAGGTAGTATTTTGAATCTGGCTTCTTTCATTCACATAATGCAATTGAAATTTAATTGTGTTGTTATACCAATAATTTGTTCTTTTGTTATTGCCGGGACCTGTTCCATCATACTGCAGTTACCATCTGAAGGACATTTGGGTTGTTTCTAGTTTGGGGTGGTTATGTGTTTAGTATTATTATTAAAATAGTTTTGACCTTGCAGACCCTTCAAAGGGTCTCAAGAATTCCCTGGGGTCCTGAGGCTTCTCTGAGAACCTCTGGCCTGTAGCATATCATTTATTTCTGTGTTGTCTTCTAGCCTGAGTGTGATGTGCTCGGTCTAGCTCAAGGGTCTCCTGCGCATGCCTTTCTAAACTTTCTTCCCACTGTTATGCCTACACTATTAATTCCTGAGGCTCTTTATCATCATGGCCATCCTTGTGCCATTGCTGTGCCTCTTCCCAGTGCTCTGCAGTAGTTCGAGGACTTGGTGGTTTCCCATCTTCTTGAGGATAATGTTTTCTCTCAGTCCTGACTGAGGACCTACCTGGCACACAGAAGATTTAGAATATTGTTTACTCATTCAAACACAATTCCTTTAGGTTATTTCACCAGACATTTGATTGTTTTTAATGGGCTTTTCCATATATGGTTACATTTTTACCCTTCATTTCAGCTCTGTGAACTGAGTAGCACAAGGGATGTTGAGCAGCTTTTATTTTTACCAAATACAAGTCCTAAAGCTGTGGTCCTTAACCAAGTTGCATATTAATCAATGTCCTGATGCTCAGAACAATTAAATCCTAATTTCTGGAGGTCATGCCTGGGAATTTATATTTGTAAAAGCAGCATCGTTAAATCATAGAATCATTATTGCAGGTTATACCTTCAAGTCTTGATAGAGTACTCAAGACTGGAACGCAGGTCTTTTGAGTGCTGCTTTATTAGGGCCTTTCCCTCTGCGCTGTGAACTTTCATAGCCCAGAAGCAGTACACAGATTTAGACAGCCTTGGTTTACATGTTAGGCTTCTATGGAGACACCATAGCATTTAGACCTGAACACTGATTTTAGAATTAGAAGACCCATTTCTGGTTTGGCTTTGCATTCATTAACTATGGGTTAATAAATACTTGAATCTGTTTCACTTTTAAAGTAAAGATACTTCCTTAAATTCTAGAAGCCTTTTGTGGGGATAAAATTAGATAATGTGTTAAAGGAGTTTGTAAACTATAAACCTTACTTGTTTTCAGCCTGCTTTTCCATATATTTTTTTGACTAACTTTGCTTGAGGTTCATAAATTACACAAGTAAAATGTAAATACAGCCTTTCAGCAATAGTCAAAGAACACAATTATTTGAAGTTAAAACCTAGAGGTCACTGTTAGTTGTATACTTTCTATCCTTTGTGCATTTAAGTGAATAAATATGTGTGCATATAAAGAATTCTTTTGGACTGTCTTAACATATATAGAATCTGATTTTGTACTTTTGTTCCTTCTTTTTTTCTTAAGTAACAGCAGATCTTACAAATTCCATATTAGGATATTGTAAATCCCTCTAGTTCTTTTAGTAGTGGCATTTTTTTCATATAATCTCATATTGATGGACAGTTAGCTTGTTTCTATTTTTTTTTCAGATATTTTTTAGTTGTACATGGATGCAGTATCTTTGTTTGTTTACTTTTATGTGGTGCTGAGGATCGAACCCAGTGCCTCACACATGAGAGGCAAGTGCTTTACCACTGAGCCAAACCCCAGCCACCTCTATTTTTTATTTATAAAAATACTCTTATAGTTAAAGCTTTGTCCCAGGGTTTCATAAACTGACTTCCAGACCACTCACGTATAATCGAATCAAGCCTTTATTGAAGCACACAGGTGGTGGCTGACCAGAACATAAAGCTGTTCCCCTGATCAGCCCCGAACAATTGCAAGGGCACTCCTTATAAGCCTGAAAACTGCAAAAGGGATGTTCGGGGGTCTAGGCCAATGCAAGCAAGCCAGGTTACAGAAGCGGGACAGTGTAGTCAAGCAGAGGGAAGCCTAACCAATCACAGTTAGCCCAGTCACCCCAGTTACAGAAAGAGAGCCCCGTTACCCTAGTTACAGAAATAATACCCCATTAGGTAGTTCCGTGTTCTTAAAGGTTTCTATAGCAAAAGGAAAAGAACATCTTGCTCCAGTCATGACTCTTCTACTTGGCATGGTTGTTTTACAGGATGAAGTCATAAAACAAAATGGAGTCACATTTGCTCCTACTACCACAATACTAATGAACTTTCTTAGCTCTTTCTTATTAAAACATTGATTAATTCTTACCAAAAGATTATGATGCATTCTGCTGTCATATATGTGGGTGTATATGTGTGTGTGTGTGTGTGTGTGTGTAATATATATATACCTGTCCACAAAGTATACCAAAAAATAAAAAATAAAAAAAGATCAGTTTTGTTTCTAAGATATTGGGGAGTGAAGTAGTAAATGTCTTCTATCTGAAATCTTAGCCCTTTTATCTGCAGAAGAGAACTTAGACTTTTTAATTGTTATAAAACATACTAGACTTTTTCTGAGAGAACTTTTTCATAAATTTTTTGAATGTTTTATTGGTTTTATTTATATGGTACTCTTATTTCACTGTTTGGATAGACTTTTACAGACTGTGTGTATTGCTTAAGTGTACCTCTTTAGGGCTATGGTTGTGGCTCAGTGATAGAGTGCTCACCCAGTGTGGCACTGGGTTTGATCTTCAGCATCACATAAAAATAAATAAATATAATAAAGTTATTCTGTCTTTTTACAACTAAAAAAGAAATTTAAAAAGTGTACCTCTTGGGCTGGAGTTGTGGCTCAGTGGTAGAGCGCTTGCTGGCATGTATGAGGCCCTAGGTTTGATCCTCAGTAACCACATATAAGTAAATAAAATAAAAAGATCCATTGACAACTAAAAAATATTTAAAAAAGTGTATTTCTTTAAGTGTGATTATTATATGATTGCCTTTTAATAACCACAGCAAACCATGGTAGTGTCCACTTATGGTAGGCACTGTGCCAACAGTTTAGTATCTATGATCTTACTTCTTCCCAATAACCCAGTGAAATTGATGTTATTATCCAAATTAAGCACTTAGAAATGGAGATTTAGGTCAAATCTCTTGCCCAA